CGCCATCATCGCCGAGAACTGGACGGTAACGACGTAGCTCATATGCCTCAAGCTCTTCTCCCTCCCAACCACCGCCAGCGTCTTCTTCCCTTCGCCGTCCCTTAGATAATAGTGCACCAGCCTCCTCCCTTTGTCATTTGAGACCACCTTCTCCTCCCATCGAACAAACCCCATCACCAAACCTTAACCCTAACCCTATAATTAAATTAAATAGAATAAAAATTGGATTTATTTTCTTACCGAACGAAGCAAGTTTGAGAGAAGGAAGGGGGGAGAGAATGTAGAGAGGAGGGAGAAGGCAGAAGATGAGGGAGGGACGGTAGATATCTAGGGATTCGTGAGGAAATAAACGGCGGAGATTTCTTCTGCGGACTCGCACGTTTTCAGCCGGCGAAACTGTCTCGAAGCTGCGTGGATTTTGAGGAAGGTGAGTTACTGAAATGCCCTTCTTTTTCTCGTTTATTACGGAGAGGGATGCGGGATTAGGAGTTTGGTATGGAGCACGGAACGGCTGAGTTGAGAAAAGAGACCACGTGCGCGCATGCTTTCCTTGTTGAATTGGTCTGTCAGTAAACGATCAGCTTTCCGTTTGCGTCCGAAATGCGCTAAAATAACATTAAATATAATATATTATATTATATATATATTATATTATATATATATATATTATATAGAAAGAAATTAATGAGTATCATTGTCATAGGAGGAGATTTCCTCTTAACGCCTCTAAAATCACATGATTGAGCGACATTGTGGATGATCCGCTCCGTTGAACTTGATCTACATATTCTAAAAACCCCAACACACCAAGTTTTTGGTGAACCCGTCGTCGTTTGACCCTTCCTCCACTCGTCATCAATTTTAACGCGTTTTGAATGAATAGAACTTTTCACATGGCTCGAGGAGGGTCAAACGACAACGGATTCCCCAAACTAGTGTTGTTAGGGTTTAGAATATGTAGATCAAGTTCAACGGAGCGGATCATCCATAATGTCGCTCAATCAGTGATTTTAGAGGCGTCAAGGAGGAAATCCTCTCCTTATGACAAGGATACCCATTAATCTTATATATATATATATATATATATTAATATATATATATATATATATATAATATATATATATATATATATATATATATATATATATATATTATATATATATATATATATATATATATATATATATATATAGAGAGAGAGAGCAGAGGAGAAGAGAGAGAGAGAGAGACGAGAACGGGAGGTGAGCTAGCAGCCGTAGGAAATTTCCTACGCTACAAGTGTATGACATGTGAGCCCCACACCAATGTGACTAGTAGCGGGGCGTCACATGTCATACACTTGCGGCGTAGGAAATTTCCTACGTTGCCAGCTCACCTCCCGTTTCTCATTATATATATATATATATATTATATATATATATATATATATATATATATATATATAATATATATATATATATATATATATACTAGTTTTTATGCACGTGCAATGCACGTGGTTAAATATCAAAAAATATATATTATTTTATATTTATTTCATTACTTTAAATAAGTAAGATTTATCTTAAGTTCAAATATGTATTATTGAATTATAAGATTTAATAGTATTTTATTTAAATATTTAAAAAAAATGTAAAGGAATTTAAGCTAAACTTGGATGAATATACGTATTCGGCATATTGTAATTGTTATTATGAATTTTAGTTATAGTAATGTAGAAAATATTTCAAAATTTTAAGTTATTTCAAATATTTTTTGACTTAAAAAGCTAAGATCATTGTTTGATTTATTGTAAACTTGTAAATTATTTTTGTTCTAAAATTTTTTAATTGATCACTACCACCAACACTTAACAGGAACTTAATTAAAGTATAAAAGTAAATCTTGATCAAATTTGGTCCCTTATTCAATATGGCAACAATCTCAACAAGTAATAATTAGTAAGCCAAGGTTTTTTTTGAAAACAATGAATATTAAGGTTTGTGACAATCCCAAGCAAATTCATCACAATAGTAATTCTTTGCCAATTGGTTAAAGATGTCACCTTTATATCATAAATGATTGATCACATGATGCGTTATCCATAGACAATAATAAAATATAGCAATTGTTCTTCATGTTCAACTCTCCACAAGGTCCGTGCATCATATGTTTTTTACCAATTCATAGAGTATCGGTGTTTGGATCGGTCTGGAATTTCTGTAGATACATATTTATCATACTGATCTAATGATGTGATCTTGTGATCTCCAATAAGAATTATTAATATATGTACATGCGGTAGCCTTCTTTTTTGAAACTCAATCACATGAACATATGCTACAACTTTCCCAAAGATCCCCTTCTTAAATAGTTGATCTTTCAAGTCTTGGAGCTTTGCTCGAAATATCATTGAGGTTAGGTCTGGCCTGTCATTATGGCTTTGGCCTGGATGTAGTTGCTCAATGATCTCTTCCTATTCTGGATTACATGTCATTGTTATAAAAAGATCTGGCTTTTCAAATCGTTGTACTAATGACATTGCATCAAGGTATTTGTGACGCATGTCTCTAAGACCACCTATGAATGATGATGGAAGAACTTTCCTTTTGCCCACTTGGCTTGCATTTGCTTCGCCGACAGCTACACTGTCGACAATACCTTGGAATAACTCTGCTTTGATTTCTGATTGTTTATTTCTGAAGTAATCAAGCCTTGTTGTTTCAAGCTTTATGTACATATCAACAACATATTGATGGAATAAACGACCTGCTGATGTAAGTATAAAAGATTGTCGAGTGTCTCTTATCTGGAGCTTATGACAATAATAATCTCAGCATGAAACTTTTTCGGGTTTTGGTGCCTTGACGCCTGTAAATTTAGGTGTTAATCTATATTCATATATAATAATATTACTTAGAAATGTGAATTAAATTTTACCTTCACTTTCTCAGTTAAATATGTCTTTTGCAGATGTGAAGGTAGGTGAAGATATTGAAGTTGGTATTATAGTTCTTTGTTGATTGTCAGCTCTGATATCCCTTTTATCCCTTCTTTTAATATTTTGATGCTATCCAACCTCTTTATTAGGAAAGAGTAAGGGATACTGCAGTGGATCATAACAGCCAAAATAGTGTTTCACTTGATGTCTTCCTCCTGAGTGTGCATGGACAATAATCTCTCTCTCAAATGGTGCATTGTCATTATTTCCTTCAACCCAGATTGCAGCCACCTGATCTGCTGTTGGTGAGTTGTAAACACGTTGATCTAGTGCAACGTTACTATTTATTAGTATCTTTAATTCTTCAAAAGATTGATAATCATTCAATTTGCGAAGGAACTTTGCATATGGGTTTTCTTGTAATATATCCATCAAACTCTTAGTTGTGATTCTCAATCGATTTTGCAACTCATTCTCTGTATCATAGAAGTAAAGCTGAAAGTATGAAGGCTTATTTTCCTTTGGAATTAGAGCTAGGAGATTATGATATATTTGTCCTTGTGCTCTAAATGTGAAAAGTCCTTTTTTATTTGATGCGAGCTATTTATCAAATCTTGCCCCAAACGATGTGAATGAGAAAATACTGTTGTACATTCTGGTGTGGCTTCGGAACTCAATTATCTCTGGTGTTTGCATTGTATAAAGGGCAAATAATTCATTTGGAATATTCACATCTGCTAGGTGGATTTCACCGTTGTGACAACAAAATGTTGGAGGCTCATGTTCAAACTTTTTGGATCCACAATATGCGCAAGACTTTGGAATGCGTAGCTTATATAGTAAAGAACATATCGGTTCATGAAGAATTTGCCCTAGAACAAATATAAATATTTAATAAACTAATATATAATATTATATAGCTCTTTCAATAAACTATAAAGTATATGTACACCAAACTTCATGCTCATAGGCCAGTAGAAGGGCTCCACAAAATAGGTCAACTTTACGTTGTCGTTTACCATTAATAGTATTACCAGAAGAGTCATTACTGTGTCGCTTTCTCTTATTATCCACAATTCTTTGAATGTAAGATTTCTTTTGCTCAACACTCAACCGAGAATATTTAGTCTTTTTAATTCTAGGTATTGGAGTGTTCTCTTCTGTTTAAAAAAATGTTCATGTAGTATTATAAATACATACACATATACTAATATAATAATATATGAATAATTCATTATTGAGTTTAATGCAAACATTAGCTTGAAGCCATTTTAGGCGAGAAAGTGTTGTATAGTAGTTATGATATCCAAAAACCAGAGAATAAATTTCTACAAAGGAAAATCATATGTCATATTACTATTAATTTATGAATATATATGAGCAATGCAGATAGTTGGACAAATTAGTGAAAATTTTCATAAAAATTCAAAAGTAAACAATCAACTATAATCATTATCACAATAAAAAAATTATTGATATTCTAGACTAACCTGATACTCGTAATTATGGAATAAATCTTGAGTACAAAATTATAATTAATTAAAAGTAGATACTCGTAATTATTGGTTACATATCATTATAATGATATGTAACCAGGTGATTGAATTTCAAAAACAATCATGAGTATGAATATATTGTAATCTACACAAAAACATAAATTAATTAAAAGCATGGAAAGCAAAAAAAAGAAAAAAAGAAACAAATGAAAGGTATATGTTTTCTATTACCTCGATAGATGGGAGAACATGCAACAATCAAATCTTGAATCCTCTAAGTTCTGCATAAAAATTGAAGAAATTTCACCATTAAATCAAATACACAATATTTATAAAGAATAATCATGAAAATAAAAAATAAACATGCATGTTGAAGGAGATGAAGTTATTATGAAATTTATGTAATTTTTTGGTTTATATATAGGCATGGGGTATTACATGTGATAGGATAATAGTCATAATTAGAGTTTTATTAGGATTTGAATTTTGTTATTGGTGTTTCAAAATATCAACCGCACTACCAAAAATGAAGCAATAGTGCATGGATATGTATATGGAATTTTAAGGGCAGGCA